CTGTTGGGTCTTAGAATGGATTCTGACCAAGTGCTTAATTGACTGGCACCACTCGGGGCCTTACTGCACAATTTATGGCACATTATTAGCAAGCTTATCATCGAGTTGGTGAACTCGAAGATGCAGCCACAATTTTTTAAAATCATTGAGATGATCACCATCTCAGTATGCTCATTAGACCTTTAAAACTGGTTCCATAGACGGTGGGTCTTGCATACAATGCACACATATATTGGGTGTTAGTAGGAAACCATAACTGTTATCAATAGAAATAGCCCCATATAAAAAAAAAAAAAACTCTGCCTCTTAAAACTACTTGTTTTGTTGGTGAAGTGTCTTGAAAAGAGTCACTCCAACCCTATTATTGTCTGTCTTTCTTATGTCCTGGTAACTGACTACAGCCTTGTACTTTAAACATTCCTTATCAGCTCATCATTTCCCCAGGACAGTTGACCATACACCATGCACATAGCTGGGATGTTCCTTGTTGTAATAAACTTCCTTTCAGTGCTGGCAAGCTAGCTGTATTTGACAGCACACCTGCACAGAGCCACACACAGACAACTTTTTATGGAAAGGCCAGTAAAAATCCGATTAAAAGCAGATAATTATGGGGGCCAGCCTGGTGGTGCAGCAGTTAAGTTCACATATTCTGCTTTGGCGGCCCAGGGTTTCCCAGTTCGGATCCAGGGTGTGGACCCACACACCACTTCTCAAGCCACACTGTGGCAGGCATCCCACATATAAAGTAGAGGAAGATGGGCACGGATGTTAGCTCAAGGCTGGTCTTCCTCAGCAAAAGGAGGAGGATTGGCGGTGGATGTTAGCTCAGCGCTAATTTTCCTCAAAAAAAAAAAAGTGGCAGATAATTTTGGTTTTAAACAAAAAGAGTCGCAGGTCAGGATTCTGAACAAGATTTTGGTGTACCTTAATTTCAGGAATTTTGTGAAAATTACAGATCATAATATTTGCAACATGCCTTCTGTAACGTCTAGCACACAAGAAATTGCATCTGTTTTTATCATTTAACATTGTCCTTTCGCTGGTTTGCCATATGAATTTAAAGTTTAGCCACACTGTCATTAATCTTAACAAAGACATACCATTCTTCCTTTTAATTCTAGCAAGGCCCGGGGTGTTAGGTTTTCTTTTCTCCTTTTCACTGTGACACTCAGGAATGTGTGAGATAAGTGGTCCTGGGGAGAGTCATGAGTCACTGATTTGCTTTCAGATAAACACCTGACTCCTCCTAAATATGAAAAGCTTGTTTAGAGACATACAGAGGTCCAGATTCCATTTTTTCCCACCCCTTACAAGTCGTATTGCGAGAAAACTTCTTCTTAAAATCAAACACAGGCTACAGTTCAAGCTGGTATCCTCCCGTTCCGGCCCAGTGGAGGTGAAGGCTCAAAAGCGGTCCTGCCTTTATGTGTCGGGTAGTTTATCTCCTCCTCCACTCGCCCATCTCTGGAGGCCCCTGCCGCTAGTCTTCATGCCCCAGTCCAAGGACCTGGTTTTCCAATTTCAGTATACAACAGTATACAATTTTAATTTCCTGCAAGGTACCCACATATTTACTCAGACTTCTGCTAGATTGTACTAGGGGAAATTGACTCATCGCTTAATCCAATTCAAACCATAGACACGAAATGAAACGTTTCCGATATATTCCTTGGTAACTCTGATAATCAATTTTTATTGAGTAACTGCTGTGTCTGTATGCTCATTCTCTTTTCAACAAGATAATTGTTTTGATATATTTCACTTACAGTTTCGAGATATTTTTCCATATTAAACCTCTCTTGGGCTACATGTCGGAATCCATTATAGATAAATATTTTCCAGGATTCAGGAGGTACATTGTAAAAGGCTTAATTCTGCCTAAGATTAGCCATGTTAATTCTCTGACTCCCACAAACTTAAGTATTAGCTGTTGGAAAAAATACTGTAAGATGGCTATCTCATTTTCTAATAGCTATTGGTTGTTTTCAGAGTGACACCGTAACAAATTCCTTTCTGACTAGTGACCTCTATTCATGCCCTTCTATTCATGTTCTACTCATGGATGCTATCAAATAATCCACACTTATCATTCATATTTCTGGGTAGCTGAGTAAGGTAGGAACTATTTTTGATATGCACGAGCAAATACTGAAGCCGTGGGGTTCCTTCTATGCACTTTCTGTCAGCAAGGGCATCAGCTGCCAGAAACCCTGATAAGTCCCATTTCAAGCGAGTAGAGTCTGGATAATACCAAACTACAAGACAACAGTCAGTGCGTGTGAACTGGCAGTACTGCCAAGCTCAATTACCCTCCTCACCCAAAATAAACACCCTGAAGTTAAAAGGCTCAGTCATCCATCTGCAAGGTATGTAGTGGGCTTAGCTAGGGAGAAAGACAGACCTTTTGATTTGTCAAAGCAGTTTTAAGCTACTGCCATTTCTCTGAGACCGAGGCTGAAAAAGTCAAAGGGAAGGTTTAAAACATATGATAACATTGTCTCCGAGTTGGGGGGGGCATATGATATTTGCTAAACGAATGGCAGACTGAATGAATGTTGGATAAGGTTTGCGCTCCTCTGGAGCCGCCCCAGGCACGGAATAAAGAGCAGCTCTCCTGTCCTGGCTTTATCACTCCTTTGCTGCCACCAAGAATAGTAACTTAGACTCTTTGGACCTTAGTTTCTCCTTCTGTAAAATAAAGAGACTGGAAAAGAGCTTTTCAGTTTCTGTCAAGCTTCTTAAGATCCCGTGATCTTTTTTTTTTTTAATTGGGGTAACACTGGTTTATAACATTATATAAATATCAGGTGTATGTCATTATATTTCAATTCCTGTGTAGATTACATCATGTGCATCACCCAAAGACTATTTATAACCCATCACCATACACATGTGCCTAAACACCCCTTTTCCCCTCCTCCCTCCTCCCTTCCCCTCTGGTAACCACCAATCCAATCTCTGTCTCTATGTGATTGTTTGTTGTTGTTTTTATCTTCTACTTATGGGAAAGATCATAGAGTATTTGACTTTCTGCCTCTGACTTATATCGCTTAGCATGACACCCTCAAGTTCCATCCATGTTGTTACAAATGGCCGGATGTCATCATTTCTTATGGCTGAGCGGTATTCCATTGTGTATACATACCGCATCTCCTTTATCCATTCATCCCTTGATGGGCACCTAGGTTGCTTCCAAGTCTTGGCTATTGTGAATAATGCTGCAGTGAACATAGAGGTGTGTGTATCTTTACGCGTTTGTGTTTTCATGTTCTTTGGATAAATACCCAGCAGCAGAATAGCTGAGATGCCATGATCTTAAAGGGCTCAGAGAGTAGATAGAGAGGATCTTGGTTCAAATGATCATTGCTTGAGAAAAAATGTTAGTAAAAGTGGTTTTATTTACAGTTTATGAGCCCATTCATTGTCTTTTTTTAATGGACAAAGTATCAAAGTCTTTAAGGTACAGTGAAAATTAAGGAAGTGAATCTTTAATTAGAAACGTCAAAGGAGAACCAAAGTCACAGAAAGGATTTTGTTATAATCAAAAATTCGTTGTATCAATTCAGTAGCCATTAAATTTTAGTATAGCCTTAGTTTTATGTGGATTAGTCTTATCTCCTCAAGTATTATGTGGAATCATGAAATTGCATTTTTGTGGGTTAAAAACAGTCAAGTATCGTTGGTTTCAACTTAAAGATGTGATGGTCTCCCTGGGAGCAGGGTACACTGCTGTGTGCTCCTCCCTTGTTCCCTCTAGTTCTTGATGTAATGCTGGGCACATTTGTTCTTTCATAATATGTATTGAAAGCAGTATTTTGGGGCAGAAAGGCTTTTTGAAATCACTTAGTGCAATATATTATTTTAAAGATGAAGAAAGTAAGACCCCAAATTTCTCAGACTTGTAGTTCTTTTGATGTTCATTATGACACTGAGACATTCTAGACAAAAAGCCTTGAGTATACTTTGAGTATTCTACCCACCAGCAAAAGAAACTGGTCTAATCAATTTTTTAGGAATAGTTCTTAGCACTTAAAGTTAGCAAAAGGGGATAAGCGTTGTTCCCAAAATTCTATAAACCTGAAGGCATTGTTCTTTTTCTATTCTTGTTAACAGAGGTGTTAACATTTTTGGAAAAAACTATTTTAAATAGTTAATGCTGACAAGAAAAATCTAGTCTAAAGGAACATAGCAACAATAATATCAACATGATCTGAATTTGAAACATGATTCCCAAATATATTACTTTGCTGTATTTGATAAACTTCAATTCTCTATAAGGAAACAACCTCCTCTTGTAGATTTAGTTACTGTTTATAGAAAGGTGTCATGGCTTAGCCAAATTAGAAATAGACTAAGTGCAAAGATATTTATAGGTCATGCTGTTGACTTAGGTCTTAGACACTGTGAAACTCTGCATTTCTGTGACATCTCTCTGCCATTTTAATTATAGGATCATCACATTTTAGAGTGTCTGGTTTAATATTTATCAATAATAGTTTATTCTGAAACCTACAAAACCCCAAAATGATATAGTCCAACATCTTGTCTTTACAAATGAGGAAACTGAGGCCCAGAGTATTTAAGTAATTTTAAGTTACTTGAGTTAAGACACGGAACAAATTGGTACATCTAATATCTGCCATGTCCAATGTGCCATTTGTTCTTTTAGTTGCAATAATGTTTGCCTCATATCTACCCTTTCAAAAATGGGGTGAAGAGTAGGTAAATAATGCTATGACCTTGGTGCTTGGAGAGAAGTATACAGGAGACTTTCATTGATGTGATGACATGTTATATGAATATGTTTAGAAGTTGTTTCAGGTTTAATGGCCATCAGGCAATTGATGATTTATTGAACCCAGGATAAGTCTGTCACACTTTTACAAATTTCCCAGTTTTCCAAAACTTTGGAAGAAGTGCCAAGTAAAGCTTTGAAACAAAGGCCTATTGGATACGCCACCTGTGTCTTATGATTGCCTGTTTGTTTTTCCTGATAGAAACATGAGTTCAGCTGGCCCTGATGGGAGGAAGGTGATGAGAAGGTGTGATGGACTGATTGACTCACTGGTCCATTATGTCAGAGGAACCATTGCAGATTACCAGCCGGATGACAAGGTAATTCAAGAATTAAATAGTTCTTGAATTGAAGTAGTATTTTGTCTTACTCAGATTCTCCAGGGTATTTTTGAAGTAGCTATTTGCATTTAGCTTTATTCATTAACTCATTTGCTGAACTTATGATTTCCCCATAGATGCTTAGAAATATGAAAATCCATCTAGCCCCATTTTTCTACTTTCCAGACCCAAAGTTCCAACTATCTGTTTGACAACTCTATGTGGATCTTGGAAAGGAGCCCAAATGCTACATGTTCACAATGAACTTAAATTCATCTCTTCCTTCATCCTCAAATTTGCTCCTTCTCTGTATAATCCTTATTAATAATTATCACCATCCTCCAAATGAAAACAGGAAGCTGAGTAATCTTGGACTGCCTCCCTTCCTTCAAATCCCATATCCACTGGGCAGCAAATCACATGCTTCTATCTCTTAAATGACCTGTGGTTTATCCACTCCTCCCTGATGTTACTGCTGTCCTTGTTTGTACATCTTTCATGCTGATTATTGCATTTGCCTCCCACTTGGTCCCTACAAACAATATCTCCTTCTGTTTCCCAACTTTCTACATGGCTCCTAAGTTATGCATCTAAAATAGAGAATCATTCTTAACACACTCTTGAAAAAGTAAACTAGAAAGGCTCTCCAGTGTTTTAAAACATTCAGCCTTATGTCTTGGGCTCTCCAGTGTTTTAAAACATTCAGCCTTGGGGCTGGCCCCGTGGCCGAGTGGTTAAGTCTGTGCGCTCCGCTGCAGGCGGCCCAGTGTTTCATTGGTTCGAATCCTGGGCACGGACATGGCACTGCTCATCAAACCACGCTGAGGCAGCGTCCCACATGCTACAACTAGAAGGACCCACAACGAAGAATATACAACTATGTACTGGGGGGCTTTGGGGAGAAAAAGGAAAAAATAAAAAATCTTTTAAAAAAAAAAAAAAAAAACATTCAGCCTTATGTCTTGGCATGGTGCTCATGGCCATTCATGATCTCGTCTTAGCCTTTCTAGCTATACTTCTTCCAGTCCCCCAGGCACACCCTCTTGCATCCAGTAAACCTTGTAAGATCCAAAGCGGAAGAAGTCACACCTGCAAAGGGATACCTCTATGTATGGGATCAATATTCATGTCCTCTTTTCTCAGGCCACAGAGAACTGTGTGTGCATTCTTCACAACCTCTCCTACCAGCTGGAGACAGAGCTCCCAGAGAGATACTCACAGGGTATCTATATTCAAAACCGGAATATCCAGACTGACAACAACAAAAGTATTGGGTGTTTTGGCAGTCGAAGCAGGAAAGTAAAAGAGGTATACTGGGAGATGTTTGAAAGAATAAGTATGTGTGTGTGTGTATTTCTGAGTACTCAGTATATGTCAGGCACTATTTTAAGTTCTTTTAATCCTTATATCAACCTTACACGGTGCGTATTTTTAATATCCTCATTTACTAATGAGGAAACAGAGGTACGGAAAGGGTAATCAATTTTCTCAGAATAATTTAGCAAATTAGTGGACGGGATGGACTTCAGTCCCTAGCAATCTGACTCCAAATTCGCATTGTTAGTCACTAAACCATACTTCTTTATGCCCTATAGGTTAGGAAATAAGCTAAATGCCACATGGCCAATGGTGTATGAAGTGTTTTAACATTAAAAGCAGCGCTGATATTCAGCTTTGGACATTCTAAAAACAAACTTTGGACATCCTAAAAGCAAACCCCATGGGAAGGAATACTGTTCATACTGGCATTTCATGAAAACAAAAAGAATGTGCCCTCTCCTACTCCTCAGAGTGTCATGCTATTTGTGAACTTGGAGAACAACTGGTAAATTTAGAATCCTGATGTTGGCCCGGACAGCTTCACTAGACTCAGAGGGAAGAGGCCTGCTTTTCTTATCTTCAGAGTGATTGTGACTAATTTAGCTTTAAGTTTAACAGCAGCCTGAAAACTGTTCTGGAGCAGCCTATGCTTAATTCTCTGAATTCTCTCTCACTGTGAAATGCAAAGTTGAGAGGTATGTGGTGGTGTTAGGGAGAAATAATCATCAGGGGCTAAAAGTTAAGTGATTAGAAAACACATATTTACTTTTTCATTTCTATTTCAAGGGTTTCTTACTATGCAAATTATTGGTCTCTCTAGACTGGACAGTATTTCTGGTCTGTGGGTTTGGGTATGGAATATAGAAATCACTTGAAGGCATTAATTCTGGATTTCATTGTGTGTGTGGTTAGCAATACCAGGACATGCCAATGCCAGAGGAAAAGAGCAACCCCAAGGGTGTGGAGTGGTTGTGGCACTCCATCGTGATACGGATGTATTTGTCCTTGATCGCCAAGAGTGTCCGAAACTACACTCAGGAAGCATCCTTGGGAGCTCTCCAGAATCTCACGGCAGGAAGTGGACCAGTGAGTATCAGGCCTGCTTTCCTACTTTTTAAAATAATGACATTGTCGACATACTGCATTAGGTTCTGCAATGAGGCAGTGAGGTCAGAGCAAAAGTTTCTCCCTTTCATCAGGACAGCTCTCAGGAATTCCCAGAGAGTTCCAGCAGTCCAGAACTTTCAGCCTCGGCTTCTGCAAAGCCAAGTCAGACTGCAAGTAGATGACTCCGAGAGAGTTACATGAATCAGAGCTCTTCCAGTTACAAGTCTCAGAATTCTACCTCAAAATGGTTTAAGCAAAAAAGAATTTCTTGGCTCGTATAACTAAGAAGTCCAGGGTAGGTCTACCTTCCATCGTGGCAGGACGTAGGTGCCCCAGCAACTGTAATTATGACTCCCCATCTCTGGACTCTATTTTCCTCTGTTGGTTGAGTTCTCAAAAGGCTCCCCTTATCTGGTAGCAAAGAGAGCCACCAAAGATTTCAGGGTTACATGTTACCCAACCCAATGTCCCCACAAGAAAAGAAACAACTATTTTCCCAGTAGCTCTATTAAGAACTCAGAGTGAGTCTCACTCGCCCATTTCTGAACCAGCACCTGTGGCTAGGAGACCATGATGTTCTGATTCCCAGGTCTGGGCATTGTGCCCACATGTGAATTTCAGGGGAGTGTGTTTGAGCAGGCAAGGGTCACCGCCACTTGTACGACATAGACTGAAATTGTAAAGGAGTAGTTCCCCCATGGAAAGTCAGTGTTATTGCAAAAAGGAAGAATGAATGCTGGGCAGGCCAAAACAACAGATGTCCACTGCAGTGTGGAGTTGGAAAAGACATCTGTGCTTTTGTGTCCCAGAAACTCAACTACAAAATAAAGAGCTGCTTCTCTTTCTAGGTGCACTTGCTTATACCAGCGAAGTCAAAACATATAAAACAGTAAAAGCTTAGTCCCTCCCCCCTGTATTTTATACCTTGCTACATATTTAGCAATTCTATAAATATTTAATTATTTGAAAGGTAAGTTTATATTCTTTGACTTGATCGTAAAATGATTAGAAAAAACTCCCCCAAAATAGTTTATTGTGTGGACGGTCTCCAATTAGTCATCGTCATAGAGAAAAGCACTTTCTCTTTTTTTTTTTTAAATTGCAGTAACATTGGTTTATAACATTATATAAATTTCAGGTGTACATCATCATATTTCGATTCCTGTGTAGGTTACATCATGTCCACTACCCAAAGACTGACTACCATCCACCACCACACACATGTGCCTAATCACCCCTTTCGCCCTCCTCCCTCCCCACTTACCCTCTGGCAACCACCGATCCAATCTCTGTCTCTATTGATTGTTGTTGTTTTTAATGTCTACTTATGAGTGAGATCATATGATATTTGACTTTCTCCCTCTGACTTATTTCGCTTTGCTTAATACCCTCAAGGTCCATCGATGTTGTCACAAATGGCCGGATTTCATCGTTTCTTATGGCTGAGTAGTATTCCATTGTGTATATATACATCCTTTTTATCCATCCATCCCTTGATGGGCACCTAGTTTGTTTCCAAGTCTTGGTTATTGTGAATAATGCTGCCATGAACATAGGGGTGCATGTATCTTTACACATTTGTGTTTTCACATTCTTTGGATAAATACCCAGCTGTATTTATCCAGAATAGCTGGATTGTATGGTAGTTCTAGTCTTAATTTTTTGAGAAATCTCCATACTGGAGAAAAACACTCTTGTAGGTAACAAAAATATTATTTACTCTTTACTTGAGAAATCATATTCATTCTTTAATGTGTTTACACAGAAGCTTGCTCTGTTTTGAATAAAATTATGAAATGGTAAATCCAATATTTCTCTTATCTTAGCACTATGGAAAACGACCAAACTCAAAAGGTACAAACTTCCAGATATAAAAGGAATATGTCCTGGGGATATAATTAGTGTACAGCATGGTAACTACAGTTAATAATACTGTATTGCATATTTGAAAGTTGCTAGGAGAGTAAATATGAAAAGTTCTCATCACAAGAGAAAAAATTCTTCACGTAGGGTGACAGATGTTAACTACACTTGTGATCATTTCACAATATATACAAATATTGAATTATTATTACGTTGTATGCCTGAAATTAATATAATGTTGTATGTCAATTATACCTCAATTTAAAAAAAGAACTCCCCTCCCCCAAAAATACAACCAAACTTTAATCTCTTTGATTTTTTTCAAAGTGTACTTCTGCACAAAAAGAAGGAAATGGGGAACTACCAGGAGCCCTGAATGACACAAGGACATTAATTTATTATCTTACTTTCCCATTTTCTGATGCTAGGTTTCCCAAAACTACTTCATTCACTTTTCCAAACTACAGACACTCTCTTAGTAACTCCTAGCCAACTTAAAAGAAAATGTCAGAAATTAAATTGCTCTGTGTGTGTATATGTGTTTAAACTCACTCTGCTCTGAATACGGTTCACCATGAGCTAACCCTTTCAACTTGGATTGTAGCATCTTCCATTCCAAGATCTCTCATGGAATCCAAACAGTCTGGAGATGTTTCCATGGACCTGAGGATACAGGGATATTTGTGCCACTTAAGCTCTGAATATGAGTATATTACCTAGATCCCAAGTTCTTTCATTCGTTTGTTAAAGAAACATTTTTTGAGCTCCTACTATGTAACAGGCACTAGCCTAGTGCTAAGTATATAGCGGTGAGTAAGGCAAAAATCCCTGTATGTCGTAATAGTCAAGTTGGGATAAATAAACAAACAAACAAACAGAAATGTAAGAGGCTAAGAGATACCAAGTCCAAAAGGAACCCAAGCAAGAGGGGAGATATCTTCATAACTGTCCTAATTGTGTCAAGGCATTTAAAATCATACCTGACCTCAGACTAGTCCAGGCCCCCAAAAGGAGGCCTACACTGAGCTGGTATTGATCCGTATTCAAGGGTGTTAGAGTTGAACTTGATTGAAGATTTATAAGAGGAAATTTAGCAGAATAGGATAATGATCTGAGGACCCTTTATTCTTTTAAGTTATGAGATGCTTTTTATTAAAATTTTGACTTATGTGTGTATCCTTTCCAGTTATTACTTTTCCTAATTTTGTTATGCTTAGATGGTGTGATAAAAATACTTGGTTTTATAATTTCTCAAGGGAATTTTTGAATATAAAAACTTGAAAAGCAGGCCATTAAACATAGTTCCAGGAAATATCCAGTTCATTAACCATGTGTTCATAACTGAGATAGCATCAAACAAATGGCCTTATACCTTAAATGCCAAAGAACCTAAACTGAAATAAATAGCTTTGCAAAAGATAGATTATATAATTTAAGTATAGAATTGTGACAGTGATTTTTAGTCAGCAAAGCTACATTAAACTTTATTAATTTGAATACAGTGGTCATTCTAATAATAAATAAGAGAAAGAGATGGATTGATAAAATTTATCCAGTTAGCAAACTCTGTAAGTATAATATAAATTAAAGTATAGATTTATAAGTACGGTATAAACCAAAAGTACAATTTAAATTAAAAGATTAAACATTCAAAAGTTAAAAGTCATTGAAATGAACAGTTTTCAAGTTTCTAAAACACTTTAATGGCACTTACTTTGATAACCATTGGAAAAAAACAAAGTGTATCCCCTACCTCACACCTTACCCAAAAATCTGTTCCAACAGCAATGAGGTTCAAATGTGAAAGGGAAGACAATAAAGCTTCTAAACAATAACATGGAAGAATATCTTCATGATCTGGAATAGGGAGAGATTTCTTAAAAGTAGTCAGAAAAAGCAGTAGCCATAAAGTAAATATTTTATAAATTGACAACTTTAAAATTACTAGCTTATGTTATTATACTATCAAAAGACATTGTTAAGACACTGTGGGGGCCGGCCCAGTGGCACAGCAGTTAAGTGCACACGTTCTGCTTCTTGGCAGCCCAGGGTTCGCTGGTTCGGATCCTGGGTGCAGACATGGCACTGCTTGGCAAAAGCCATGCTGTGGTAGGCATCCCACATATAAAGTAGAGGAAGATGGGCATGGATGTTAGCTCAGGACTAGACTTCCTCAGGAAAAAGAGGAGGATTGGCAGAAGTTAGCTCAGGGCTAATCTTCCTCAAAAAAAGACACTAAAGGGGCCGGCCCGGTGGCACAGTGGTTAAGTTTGCACGTTCCACATCTCAGCGGGCTTGAGTTTGCCGGTTCGGATCCCGAGTGTGGACATGGCACCGCTTGGCACACCATGCTGTGGTAGGCGTCCCACATATAAAGTAGAGGAAGATGGGCACAGATGTTAGCTCAGGGCCAGGCTTCCTCAGCAAAAAGAGGAGGACTGGCAGTAGTTAGTTCAGGGCTAATCTTCCTCAAAAAAAAAATATATATATGGAAAAAAAAAAGACACTAAAAAGACAAACCACAGAGTGGGAAAAGATTTTTGTAACATATATAAGTTACAAAGGTTGGTATCTAGAAAATATAAAAAACTCATGAAGTTAACAATAAGAAGATAGACAACCCAATATAAAAATGGACAGGAGGGCCAGACCCGGTGGTGTGGTAGTTGAGTTCAGCGTGCTCTGCTTTGGCAGCCCAGATTCGGTTCCAGGGCATGGACCTACACCACTCATCTGTCAGTGGCCATGCTGTGGAGGTGGCTCACATGCAGAAAGAGGAAGATTGGCAATGGATGTTAGCTCAGGGTGAATCTTCCTTAAAAAAGTAAATAGAGACTTTAATGGGCACTTCACAAAAGATAAGATAGAAATAGCCAATAAACATTTGAAAAGGTGCCCAACCTTATTAATAATCAGGAAAGTATGAATTAGAAGTGCTATTTGTAAACGGTTGACTAACTACTTCACAGTCATTCTCATATATTTCCTAAAGCTGGAATTAAAAAATCTCTCTTTGGTAAATCTGATTATTTTTCTTATTGAGTAAATTCTAACGACCATCCCACTTCAGCCTCTCCCATTTTCCTCAATAAGCGAGAATTACTGAGACTGCTCTGCTTTCCCCTAGTTGAGCAAATGTCGTTTGAGGATCCAGACTTCGTTTAGAGTTGCATTTTCTGGTGATCATTTTTATATACAAACATCAAACTCTTTATTATCTATAAGAATATATCATTAAATGGTATAGTATGATATACATATAAAGCAAGATTTTAGTTTTAAAAACATCTCATGTTTTAAAAGAAAACAAATTTTTTTTAATTTTATTGATTTAATTTTTTTTTTTTTTTGGAGGAAGATTAGCCCTGAGCTAACTGGGGCCAGTCCTCCTCTTTTTGCTGAGGAAGATTGGCCCTGAGCTAACATCCATGCCCATTTTCCTCTACTTTATATGTGGGATGCCTACCACATCATGGCTTGCCAAGCGGTGCCATATCCACACCCAGGATACGAACTGGCGAACCCTGGGCTGCCGAAGTGGAACGTGCACACTTAACCACTACGCCACCGGGCCGGCCCCCAAAAGAAAACAAACTTTAAGAAATAAATATCTTGTGACTTTTTAATCCATCCTTATCCTCATGAAGAACCTTCTGAGATTATAGTAAATCTTCAGGAAAACTTGATAGTATATTATTCATATCGTTCAGTTCAATAATCATTTGTATAGGACCATTCAAGGCACTGAGAGAAACAAAAAAGATGGACAAATCATTTCCTCCTTGCAAGGAACTTCTGTTCTAATAAGAAAGATACGCAATTTAATATAGTTGTAACCTAGAAAATTAACGAGTAGTGGTAGGAAAGGGAGGACAGAAGATGCCAGGCTGTGAAGGACTATATGGGCCATGCTAAGACTTGTGCACATCATTCTGAAGGCAATGGGGAGTCATCACAAGGTTTAAACATGAGGTGGAACATAATCACTTTAAATTTTAGAAGGATCATTCTGGTGTAACTTTGAAATCTTCACTGGCACTTACAAAACAGCAAGTTGACCAACAACATTTGAGCTCCTAGTGGAGATCAGAAACCATAAATTTGCAGAAGTGCCAATCTTCAAATGCCCTATTTACTATAGCAATATTTGGTGGCCAAGTGTAAAGTCAGCTTTGCAGTTTTGGTGAGTGGGTGAAAAATAGGCTAGAGTAATAGAGTTAAGGATGTTGGAAAAATAGTATTTGATGTAATGGTTCACATACCCTCATCTAAATAAGAAAGGTAAGGTAAGAGAGAATTGATCACTTGAGAGCAGGAAATGAAGGCTGAGGTATAAGGACTGGAGTTCCCGATGAGGCTTAAGAAGAAATATGATAGGAGTGAGGGAGAGAGAGCAAGGAGAATAGGAAGTTGTGTTCAGAGCTTGACATTGGAGTATATGTTTTCAGAGGAAAGGTGTTTCTGGGTGAACACAAGTTCCATATGACCATGGAAGTGAGTGGCTGATATGCAGAAGAGATGAAGACTATGACTTTTAGGAAGTCTATGAACTGTGAGGTAATTAATTTGGTCATCTACCATGGACAGGAGGTGGAGAAGGCTCTGAGTCAGGCTGCATAGCCTCCAGTGGATGCTGTGAAAAGACCAATAGATCTTGAGATGACAAAGAAAATGCTATGGGGGTGATAGAGCTGGATGGCAGTGACTCAGAAGAGCAGAGCTTGGGCATATGTGGAAAGAAATAATTATCTAGACAGGCTATAAGGGAGATAGAGGAATGCAAAACCTACCTTCTTGCCCAAGACACAGGAATTGTACAGAATAAATAGCCTCTCTAGGTGGCTACGGGGAAGGATTCTTCTCAGAGGAGAGCAAATGGTCTAATGGAATGTTCTGTGAATTAGTGAAAGACAAATTATAATTTGTTTACAATAAAACAGATATTCTAGAACTGCAGTTATTAAACTTCTTTGAGTCATGGACATTTTGAGTGTCTAATAAAATCATGGACCCTTCCCCTATAAAAATTTATTAGAAACACAAAAATAGCTTTAAGCACCTCCTGTCCCATCCTGAAACCTATCCTGGATCCTATATTAAAAACCCATATTCTAGAAGGTACAGTGGAGGATGTAAGAAGGAGAGCAATCTGAGGGAGACAGCGGGAAACAAGCATGTTTAGATAAGATAAACAGAGAAGATAGACGCCTTGAAGAATGACCAAGTATTACGGGAATTTCTGGCATGGTGGCCTCAAATTAGCTTCAAATAGAAATCTAGGAAGTTGCAGACACGAGCTAAGGCACTAGTATCAGTGGAGGTTTGTTGATGCTAGGAAGGATCTGGTTGGAACTCAGATGGAAAGTGGATGGCCAGCCTCATAAGATTTGCCTCTAATGGACCTACACTTGGCCCAACAACTTGCATGTGCAGCCTCTGATACAGAGCATAGAATTACAGCTGATCTAACTAGCCGTACATGCCTTTCTTTACACGCCCAATATCTCTTTCAGAACAAACTGGTTTTTAGAAATGAGCGAGTTTATTAAAATATGTAAAATGCCAATATTTGAACAAGAAGAGACAAAAAAGATGAATAAGCCAGCAACTGGTAAATATATTGAAGTAATAATCGAAGACATCTCCCTTTAAAACTTTTGTCAGCTCAGTTGGTTTTATAGCTGAATTCTACCAAACCCACAAAGGGGAGATTGTTCTTGTATTACACAAACAGTTCAAGAAAATGGAAAAAGGGAAAACACCACCCAACTAATTTTATGATATTAGTGTAATTTGATTTTAAAACTGATAACAGTATTACAAGAAAGGAAAAGACAGGCGCATTTTATTTATAAACACAGACGCGAACAATGTAGTAGCTAACCAAATCCAACATTGTGTTTTAAAATGCTGAATAAATTGTTTTTATCCAGAAATTAAATTGAAAACCTAATAAGAATGAAAAAGATATATCTTCAGATTGGTTTCATCACTGCTCTAGTTTTTAAAACATCTTGCTTGACTTCTGGTAATCTGCAGAAAAACTTAATATTACCATGAAGTCAAACGCAATAGCACTTGTGGGACGTCTCTTAAAACAGATGCCGACGTCAGTGGCTCAGACAGTTGTCCAGAAGGAAAATGGCCTCCAGCACACCCGAAAGATGCTGCATGTTAGTGATCCAAGTGTGAAAAAGACTGCTGTGTCCCTGCTGAGGAATTTGTCTCGGAATCTTTCGCTGCAGAATGAAATTGGTGAGTCAGTAAAGTATCTGGCTGAAATAAGTACGCAGTGAAAATACAAATGCAATAAAATGTTGTCTTTATCACATTCTTTTCACAATGGTGAACTGAAAATGTGAAGAAAGAGCAGAATGTCATAAATACACCTGGTTTTTGTGCACACAGATGTCAAGGGTGGGGTTTCTCACTGGGTCTCAAATAGGATTTTTCTTAATATCCCGCATTTTTTTGTTGTTTTTATTAACACAAAGAGAAATTTTAGACCACACTAATAATTAACAAGATAAGGAATATATTTGATGGCATAGCTCATCCCTCAGCTGTGCCAGCCAGTGAAATCTTTTGAATCCATGTAGCTGTCTTTCAGAATGTTTTCTGCATAGCCTGATTGGGACCACCCTTCTAGAACATTAAAAAACAGTCGTTGTTCACTTTAGAAACTTGGCCGTTGTTGGACTGGAAAAAAATAAATAGATAATCACACACAAAAAGACACAAAGAAGGAGTCACTGAATATAGCAGATTCTGCATATATGGCTTTTAGAATAAATATGATGAAACATATTTGCTCTTTTTTTTTGAGTCTATATTATTGACAAAGATGGTAACTGTATTATGCTATCAATTAAATAATTTTTCACTCTTTTGCGTTATACCTAGAAGTATCTGATAAATGTTTGTGAATCAAGTCAAAAACTATAAAATGAGATAGTAGGAAGACAATGCTAAAATTAAGCATGCTTCAGATAAAAACTAGACTATTGGGGGTAGGCATGACGTAGTCTGTAGTCTATACAGAAACTGATATATAATAATGTACACCTGAAATTACACAATGTTATAAACCAATGTGACCTCAATAAAATAATTTTTTAAATAATGATAAAATAAAATTAAGCATGTTTCCTAATGCTCCATTAATTAGTCACTCCTGACAACTTGAAATTCAGTTTTTCATGAAATTCTAAAATTGTAGACAAGTTTTGGTTTTTCAGTGGATCAGATTATTTTGGAATGTACACACATACAAGAGATATTGAAGTCTCTGGTTAATGTTTTAGTAACGTCATTTCCAAAGACAGCCACCAGCACAACATTGCACAAGCGGTTTCAGAGAATGGTTTTGTGCCCATTATAAATAGAGAAAGAGACTGGAAATTTGTCAGTGACTCTAAAAGAAACTTTGCCATAGGCATTCTCAGAATTATGAAACTGTGCTCCCCATTGTCTTCCGTGGACTTGTGTGCTGCACTTCAATTCAGGTGTATTGTCCTTTGAGTTTTCTTTTTCTTTTTCCAAATAAAATGTTGACTCCATCTTTAAAACATTGCCTCTGAAAATAATTGCGTTCTACACATTGTGCATGTACCTTCAGGGCAGAAATGCTGTTGGGTCAGTTTCTATACAGTTCTCTAACTGTTGGTAAGATATAGCTGTAGCCCCACAGTTTATATAAGATAATTCCACTGATAAACCTCCCCTCATTTTAAGGACAACAGAGAGAAGTGGCTTGAGCAAGCTAAAATCAATTTTTAAAAATTCCAAATTGGCTTTGTGTCAAATAGATAATTTGAGTAAAAAGACCTGTCTTGATTCAGGGTATTAATAACCAAGAATAAATGGAAATCAGTTTGAAATACATGCTTTGTGCTTCTCATAAGAGATTTCTAGGCCAGGTAAAACTTTCCATGTGCTGACCTGTGATGATGTCATCACGTTTTATTTAGATTTACAGAAATAAACTTGAAACATTTTCTTTTCTTTTTCTTTTTTTTTCTCTTTTATTTTTTTTGCTGAGGAAGATTCACCCTGAGCCAACATCTGTGCCAATCTTCCTCTATTTTGTATGTGAGCCACTGCCACGGCATGGCCATTGACGAGTGGTGTAGGTCCGCCCCTGGGAATTAAACCTGGGCCACTGAAGTGGAGAGCGTGGAACTTAACCACCAGGCCACCAGGGCTGGCCTGAAACTTATATTTTCTTACAAACTTAAAGATAGGCAGCTTAGCATGGTGACAAAATATAGATCTCAGGTACAAGACATGGATCTGTATCCTACAATGTGACCTTGCCACTCATGTCACCTTGGCTAGTCATTTAACTGATCTAAACCAACTGAGATTAGTAATCACTACCTAATAGTGTTTTTCCAAGGGTCAGATAACATGATGTACTTGCAAGCATCAGGAAGTATTTGGATAGATCTCTCGAGTCTCAGTTCACATTTCTTCAGTTACAGATATTTTCAGACATCCAGCTAATGTCTTGGCTTTTTAAGGCATTGAGTTTAAGCATTAAAATCTCAACAATATGACATTGAGCTATAACCCTTCACTATCATGATAAGGCCTTTAATTTTTATATTTCACTATTAAAGATCCAATTTTATTTTATTTTATTTTTTAAGGTTTTATTTTTTCTTTTTCTCCCCAAAGCCCCCCAGTACGTAGTTGTGTATATCTATCTATCTATATGTATATATATTTTTTTCTTTTTTTCTTTTCAGTTGTGGGTCTTTCTAGTTGTAGCATGTGGGACACCGCCTCAGCTTGGCTTGATGAGTGGTGTTAGGTCCACGCCCAGGATCTGAACCTGCGAAACCGTGGGCCGCCAAAGCAGAGCGCGCGAACTTAACCACTTGGCCACAGGGCTGGCCCCCAGAGGTCCAATTTTAATTGTCCCAAAGCAAATGTATTTATTCAGGCCCACTGTGTGTGTGTGTGTGTCTGTGTGTGTCTATGTGAGTGTGTGGAGAGAGAAACACCAAGAGACAAAATGACCTCCTTACTATATTGTAGTATCTAGCTTTGTCGATGTAAACAATTGGACTGCTTTTCTAAGAACAACAAACGCCATGTAAAATGTTAAAGACTCTAACGTCTCTAATTCTCACTCCTCCTCTGACATGACCCTGAGATTCAACCTTGAGTTTCATCTACAAAAGTGGACCTTCTTGTTGGCGATGCTGAGGGAGGCGAGGTGGGACTCTCTCTGAGTAGGCATTGTCCTCGGTGTGGGCAGCCTGGGTGTCAGCAGACAGTGCTGCAGCCTGCAGAGAGGTGATGGGGTGTTTTCTGTTGGATTGTCTCAGCCTTGTTTCCTTGTCATTGACCTAAATTTCAGTGAAAGGAAAATTCATGTTCTCAAGGCCTTTCGGTCTGTGGCTTAACTTATTAAAAGGAGGAAGCCTTCTGAAAATAACTCCCATCTTTTGAGAGCTTACTACGTATGTGCAGGGTACTGGGATACAGTTAACACATACTAACTTATTTAAGCCCTTAAAACGACAGATACTATTATTATCCCATTTGACAAAGTAGGAAAATGAAGCAGGGGGAGGTTCCATAGCCTGCCCAGACCACACAGCCGTTAAATGGCAGAGACAGGACTGAAACCTGAAGAAGCGTGGCTTCAGAGGCTGAGCTCTGAGCTCTCAACACTATGTTATGATGCTTGAACAACAGTGAAAAAGAAAGTGGTCAGGCCTTTGAGCAGAAGGTGTGTCTTTCCTGTCAGTCAGGTCCAGGTGTTATCAAAAGGATGACACATCGTTCAGTGCCTTTTATTGATGCCTCTCTGTTTTAGGCATTGTGATCGATGCAAATCCAGAAATGTGTACAATGATTGTCCTCCAGGAACCCATCGCCCCATTTGGAATTCAGACAGGCTTATAGCTAATTACAATTCAGTATCGTAGAGAGAAGTGCAGTTCAAGGTGCCACATAAACGCAGATGAAGAAACAATAAAATTAAGCGGAAATATTTGTTATACAACCGTGATAAACACAGCATTGTATTAAAGAGCTGTGAGGAGCAGCAAAACAATTGAAGCATGCTCTCTGTTTTTTAAGGAGAGTCCAAAGTAGTTAGAGAGAAAGAAGAAAACATGTGAAAAGAATTATTGCAGAAAATCAAGTACATATTCATATTGCCCAAAATATACACCGGAGGACAAATTATAATGAAATCATCAAACATTAATACCTCTCTTGTTATTACAAAAAAAAAGTCTGGGGCTGGCCCCGTGGCCGAGTGGTTAAGTTTGCTCACTCTGCTGCAGGCGGCCCAGTGTTTCGTTGGTTCGAATCCTGGGCGCGGACATGGCACTGCTCATCAAACCACGCTGAGGCAGCGTCCCACATGCCACAACTAGAAGGACCCACAACGAAGAATATACAACTATGTACTGGGGGGCTTTGGGGAGAAAAAGGAAAAAATAAAATCTTTAAAAAAAAAAGTCAAACTAAAACCCTATAACCAAGAACTTACATGGTGAAAAAATAAATTTAAAGTAATCTCTTTCTCTTTTTTTTAATAATAGCATGATTAGTGCATTCAAGAAACTTTGGGCATTTCAGATAATTTTTTAAAATATTTTTAGGTCACCATCAATACTATTGTAGAAAAACAAGTCCTGTTATTAGTGTATTTCTTCTCAGGTTTTTTATGTGTTTTTTCTCTCCTGGTATTATAATATGTATTCTTTATATAAATAAATATACTGGTTTTTCACACAGAATATTAACATAAATATTTTCTGGTTATACGTGCTTCGCTGATATGTTTTGGGATGCATAATATTCTTTTCAGATGTATTTCCATTGATTATGTTCTATTATTGGAATATTTAGGCTGTTTATAATTTTTAATTTATATGTAATACTATAATAAAGATCTCTGCATAAAGCTTTTTCCATTTTTAAAGTGATATCTTTAGGATCAATTTCCAGAAGTGGAATTACTGAATCAAAGAATGTGAAAATTTTTAAAATTCTTGACATTTCTGTCAAATTGCTTTCTGAATAGATTTCCGGTGTACTGAGCACAGAGTATCATCTTTTTTAAAAATCTTTTCTAAATTTGAGTGTTAAGAGTGTTGAATGTTACATCTTTCATATGCTTATTAATCAATTGTGTTTCCTTTTTAAAATGTTCTTGACCCAAAATGTATTGGGATCTTGAGGCTAAGAAATAATCCTTTTCATTGTGTTCTTTCTGTTTCATAATGTAGCCAGAGAAACTCTGCCTGATTTGGTTTCCATAATTCCCGACACAGTCCCAAGTACTGACCTTCTAATCGAAACTACGGCCTCTGCCTGTTACACGTTGAACAACATCATCCAGAACAGTTACCAGAATGCCCGGGATCTTCTAAACACTGGGGGCCTGCAGAAAATCATGACCATCAGTGCAGGGGATGCGTAAGTCCTTTAGCATCTGCCAGTCAGCGGTCGCTTTCCCCACCACCACACGCGTGTGTAAATAATCCAGTTGTGAATGTCCAGTCATTGAGTACCATGGGCGACATGGCCAAAAACAGGATTGTAAAGTTGGGCTGGATCATCTGGCCCAGTCCTTGGTGACAAGGCAAGTGAAAAACTGAAGCTTCCAAGCCCAATAGTTGCCCATTCTCATCTAAAATATCCAGAGATAGTCAAACACCATAGCTTCTCTGGGTAGTGCCTTCCAGCATTTTATTCACTTGATGAATTAATTTGTTTTCCAGAGCCACGGCTGTGATTTAAGAACAGCAGAGTGTAGGCAAAGTGGGAGTCCTATGGACAGAGAATACCCTTTTCCTCACTTAAATCTGTGGAGCCAGTGTCACCACAGGTGGCTGAGAGGAAGCAGTGATAGCACAAGGAGGAGAAGTAGGAGGCAGCGTAACAAGAAATTCTTGCTTTCTCTATCACATCTGTTCCACCTCTTATTCCCTTTTGAGAATAAAAGGTTTAATGCATATGCCTTCCGGCATCCCTCTTTCTGTGTCTTTGAATTTTCCACATTTTAAAAAAACAGATGAGGAAGAGAATGAAAAACCTTGTGTAACCAAATTATTACTGTTAGTTAATTTAGAGTGATGGGATCCAAAGGGGGCACGAAGATTATTATCTTTTTCTCTTTATACAGTTCTGAATTGCTCGCCTTGTTAAATACAAGTTACTTTTGTGGATAACATAAAAGAAAAGAAATGTTATTGTAGCCGAGTTCTAATGAGCTGCAAAGCAAACAAACTTCACCTGGTGTGGACAAATGTGTGTGAGGCAGGCATGGGGGCTCTGTGGTGTCCTGGAATGAACACGTGTCCCCTCCCCCACAGTCCCACCCAGTTTAGGCCCCTGGTGCTCTGCAGCCCTGCTCTGGGAAAGCTCGCAGGGAAGGAAGACCATATTCAGAGTCACGTGATTAAAAGGAGCACTGGTTAAAAGGTCAGTTCCCCAAGAGCGGGGAAGGCTCACCTGTCCCCAGAGCCTGGCAGATAGCTGTTGCTCAGTCTTTGTGGAAAGAATGAATTATTGCTGCAGAATAGATCTGACCATTCCTAATAATCCTCCAAACCTCTAAGCAAATCTCCACAAGACCATATAATGTTAATTATTTGAGTATTCAGACAGAAGCAGCACATGGGAATACGCCATCACTTTTGGAAACTTCTTGTAGCTTAGCAACATATGAGGCTGTGCTACTCCGTTGCCTATTTTTTGTCTTGAGTGTCCAGCTGTGAGCTAGTCCTTACATGTCCTCTCTCAAACAAAAGTCAGCAAGGAGCTTCTAACTGTTGCACCTGCTGCTCTGTCCTTGCCAGAGTGTTGTATAGCTGCCCTGTAATGTATGAGCTAGCCTGGGAACCAGTTGCCATTTATAACATTTTATCTTTCAATACATGAGTTCCAAGTGCCAACTGACCAACTCATAAACAAATTTTATGAATATACAGCCCTTGCAATTTAAGAACTTTTTCCAATTTTAAATATCAGAGACCAGTAGCTTTCATGGATATATTAGTACTTTGGTTATTAGCAAGTGACTCTGAAAAGTCCATGAGGTACTATAAAACAGTCTGTAAGATACTGATTTGACTTACCCTTCATACAAGGCTGGTATGGAAGGGAAAGGCTTTTAGCTAATGAGTGAACCCAGCCTGTGCTTCTCCATACAGCTTTGCATTCTCTATTCTTGGTTGCATGTTTACAAATCCTATGATATAAAAAATAAGTTCTGTGTTAAAAGAAAAAATTCAGCCATGTGCTAGTTCAGGTGGTAGAAGAGATAGAGATCTAAGAAAGCATTAGATCCTTAGCCAGAAACAGGAGGTTTAGGACAAATTTAAAAGCTGAGCATCAAAAACTGAGTACAATGCCAAATTCAGTGGTGACTTGGTTTTATAACAGGACACATCTTCCATTTGCTCTCTATAAAAACAAAGAAATTTTGAAACTATTTTAACAAATGCTCCAATAAGAATTCATTTTATTAACTTGAAAAAATTACTCCTACATTCATAATCACTAAGTCTAAGAGGTATATATATTTTTCAGTCATCCTTTCCTGCATTTGTATTCTATAAATGTACATTAAAGTATACAAATATATTCTATCAATATACAAATACAAATTTTATTCTATAAATAAATTCAAAGATGTATTCCGTATAAATATCAGGAATTTGCTCTGTAAACTATTTATTGGTTAGCACATGCTAGTCGTTTAAAAATATTTTTTAAAAATAATTTAAAAAACAACAACAGGGTGGCCCCTGGCCTTCAGAGCTCACCATCTAATTCTCTTCTGATGGTGAGTGGCCTGACTTAATGGATGGCTACTGAGCAACAGCAGTTAAAGAAGATTTACGGAGTGTCCAAAGACAGCGCCCAGAAGCCTGACACATTCTCGCTGATCTCAGAGTGTACTTTTCTTCTTTTCAGCTGTGCCTCCAACAAAGCCAGTAAAGCTGCCTCTGTTCTCCTGTATTCTCTGTGGACACACACGGAGCTCCATAACGCCTACAAGAAGGTAAGAACGCCAGAAAGACGTGTGTTGTACTTAACAGCCAGATAATCGTGGCCTTCTTGTCTTGACCCTGGTGAGAAATCACTAAAAACTGCATTTTCTTGTGTGAAAATGTTGTTACCTTTCACATTTCTGTTTGCTTATTCCAAAGGCTCAGTTCAAGAAGACAGATTTTGTCAACAGCCGGACTGCCAAAGCGTATCACTCCCTCAAAGACTGAGGACAGTGAGGAAGCGCCCTCAGAGATGCCAGCCTCGCCATCCTCAGCCACAAAAAAACCCCAAAGGAAAGCACCTATTTTTCTACTGCCCAGCCCAAGAAGCCTCAAAAAAAGCATGCCTTGTTTCTATCCTTTTCTATTTCCATGGTCCCCAGAATTCAGAAAACAAATAATCAGAGTATAATTTTATTGGTCTTCCAGAAGACTTTTGCAAGTTTGCCACCAGTAGAGACTGGCAGCGGGCTTAATTCAACCTTCTCCAAATAGTGGTCTTTGTGATCAGGGCTTACAATGCATGGCCTCCTGGAACCACAATGTGAATTCACGTGGAATGGACATTAACAGAATAAATAAGGAAGGAAGCTGTTGTATTACTAGGATTTTAAAAGTTTGATTTACATTTTTATTCCCTTTCTGGTTTCCATGTTTTGTCACTCATATGCACGTCGCTTCACCACTGAGCCACGAGTGTGTTGTCCTGCTGTGTTGAAACAGAATGGAAACGACGAGAAATATTTGAAAAGTTATCCAGGAGAAAATTTAATGGCAAAGTTATATGTTTCTTTGTTTACTTTGTGCTTGTTTTTATCCTCTTGAATTTTTTCTCTGATTTTAAATGAACTAATGAAATTTAGATCACAGAGCATGCATGACTGTAAGGAAAAGAAATTGAAAGAAAGTGATCATAGCAAACTTAAAAATCTTTTCCACAGGGAAAGACAACTATGGTTGTGAAATTCAATGTTCCCTCTAAACGCTGAGTAAATTCAATTTTCTGCCCAAGGAAATACGTTACCTGTAACACCACTGTGAAATGAAAGTCTCTTCTGAATGGTGGCATTCAGTGTAACTATTTCCTGGACTTTTTCAGCCACTGCAATGGGCTGGTGAAAAAACAGACTCAACTCTTTAGCTACAAAAGGAAGAAAGGCCTCTCAAACAGCTGGGCCAGCCCAGGGCACTGAAGACACAGCTCATTTTAATGAATTATGTTATCAACCAGCCCAACTTTGCTCAACATTTGAAAAAATAGCACAGAGCCACTAACTCTGATGTGATCTTCCTCAAACCATTATTTTAAGTCAAGGGAACTCTATAGAAGAAAAATGAAGAAGTTATGTTGAGGAAAAATGTGTCTAGACCACCAAGAAATGGTGTGAGAGATACTAATATTTAAAAGTTGACACCATCATCTACTGAAGCGAATCTATATTGTTATTTTAACTGGGCCGTGAGTAATATTCATATAGAATTAGTCTTCTCAACTACAATTTTGTTATTATATTTTGCTTTTCTAAAAAATCTGACAATGTTTGTTATAAGAAAGTAAGAAGAGAAAAATCCTTCAGCTCCTTTTGGCCAGATAGGTGTAATAGAAAATAAATTCCCATTTTCAGTTTGAATGTGTACTTAAGTCTTTATTATATTTAGAACTTGAAATTTTTTCCATTTTAAAAGCTCAATGAAGAAGACTTAGTTTACTAACCTAGTTCAAAATGAAATTATTTGGATACCAATTTTTAAAATACTGAAGAGAGAAATTATCTCTTTTTCCAGAGTTTTGATGATAAGCATTTGGAGTATTTATTCCTCCAGATAACTGATGTATGTTCCAGAACTTTCTGTATTTTTTAAGACATTAGTAGAATCTTCAATAATGTTACACACAAAATGAGGCAAAAATAACATTGCCTGCATTGGTATCTGTGTATATCTGATTTATTTGTATTTCTTGGTATATGTGGTATGATTGACATGACATCTGAGGATTTGACCTTATAAACTTCAACTTTAATTACTAAGGGTTTGATGCTTTGTAATTGCTTTTGTTTCTTCTCTAATTAAAATCCTAAATTCTTTACCAAGAAACACTTCCTGTAAGAAAGATGGGAGTAGCTAGTGACTAAAACATGTAAAAATGGAGAGACATACAAATGCATTAGCTATTGTTGGATTTTAGTAAATTGAATGAGTCTGTGCCCACAAAAAGATAGACTGTGTTTGATCCCCATGTTCTGCTTTATCCACTCTGTTTACACAAACCTCACTACGTCACTATCTGTGAATACCTCTAGGGGAGGTCCTTGTGTGGTTGAACATCCATTTTGATCACAGGTCTACACACAAGATTCTTTTTTTGCCTGTTTGTCCCAGACTGTGCCCATGTCTTCAAAGGAACTGATGGGCTGAGCTGGGCCTTTTTATTTATTTGTGCTGAGTTCCAAAGGGCTGCTGCCTTGTCACAAATTCTTAATGGTCTTCTGGAAGATGGGAGGTTGCTGCCCTGAATTTCTATCACTGGAAACATTTGTTTATACCTGATGGATATAACCAAAGGGTTTTCTGACAAGATGGAGAGGGGATTAACATGTCAAATGGGAAAACAAGCAGCATGAGTAGATAAACCACTTTAAAACCAATTTAATCAGCCTCTGAAGAAGCAATTCCCTAGAAGAAAAAAGGAAATGGGAAATATATATAAACTTAAATATTTATTTAATATATGTATAATTTATATATACTATAGTTATAAATGAAATTTCCTCGAAATGAGATGTGTAATGAACTTACTGCAATGGAATGAGGAGGACTTTGGTATGTGTGGACTTTGAACCAAATTGCAGAAGCCTCAGAATCACAGAATCTGAGGATTAGGAGGGAATTTAGAGGGTATCTGGTCAAGTCCTCCTTGACATATCTTCTTGCAGCAGAAAAGACTCAGTTCTTATTAAAGCGACAGAGAAAAAAAAATGCCCTCCTTCAGTCAACTAATGCCCAGCATGACCCTGTAACCAGCCCATCTTAAGACTCAGTAACTGTTGCATTAAAGTATTTGTTGTGGGAAGGGAAATAGGTTAAGAAGGAAACAAACTTTTCAAAATAAAATTCTACTTTAGTTTAACGTTTTAGTTTATAGGGATGCTGACAGTTGCATCTCTTGTGAAATAAATGTCAACCTCTTAAGGACTATAAGAAAAAGGAAAACTCTCACTTTTTATGATATATTCAGGAAAGAGAGATCAAAATGCCACACGTTGGCAGAAGAGTTGTTTAGAGTAAGAGCAAGCAGGGAAAGTGTTCTGAAAGCTGCAGTCTGGGAGACAGTTAAAGAATCCAGCAATATTTAGCCTGGAAGAAAGGTGCCATGTCACTTATCTTGAAATATCTGGAAGAACGTTGTATGGAAGATGACACGGTCTTATTCTGACGGAGCAGAGGACAGACAAGGGTCAGTAGGCAGAGGCTTGTGAGACCAGCTTTGACTGAACAACAGTGGACATAGATCGAAAACGCCTCACAGCCTCCTCATGACGCATACACCTTTTTCTTTTTCTTTTTCTTTCTTTACATTTTACACATGAAAATAACCTGAAACAGAGAGAGGTTAAGACACACTTTAAAGTCACATAGCTAGAAAGTGCAGAGGGGCCATATGAACCCAGGCGAGATGGCTCCTCGCTAGGGGTTTCCTGGGAACCAAGAATGAAAGATTCGTGTCTCCGTGCTGGGGAAATGCGAGGATCTCTGGCTTGTCTCTCTTTGGAGAGTTTAGAGGGCAGTCTGACATGATGGTTAAGAGGGCTGATTCTAGAACCAGCCAGCCTGAGCTCAGATTGTGACTTCTTCCCCACTGACCAGCTGGAGTGGGTTTCTTACCCTCTGAGCTTCAGCTTTCCTTCTCTGTTATATGCGAATGATAAGACTAGTTACCTCATGTTGTTTTGAGGATTAAATGTTTTCATAATTATAAGCACTTAACAGTGCCTGGCAGTACGTACTCAATAAATGCTAATAACTAATTTATTTGTAGTTCTCTGGTTTGGGGATCTTTGCTTTTCTTTTTTAATCCATCTCTCTTGAATTTCTTTTTTCAGATGTGGGTTGGTTCAGTTAAAGGTCCAACCTTCCCCCAGCCACCCATTTTATTTTTTTTAAAGATTGGCACCTGACCTAACATCTGTTGCCAATCTTCCTTTTTTTTCCTTTTTTTTCCTCCTTCTTCTCCCCAAAGCCCCCCAGTCCATAGTTGTATATTCTAGTTGTAGGTCCCTCCGGTTGTGCTGTGTGGGATGCCGCCTCAGCATGGCCTGATGAGCCATGCTAGGTTCACGTCCAGGATCCGAACCCATGAATCCCCAGTCCGCCGAAGCGGAGTGCACAAACTCAACCACTCCAGCTGCCCATTTTATACACACACACACTGACCATCCCTTAGAAAGCCAGGTAGAAATGAGGAAAACAAACATGGCCCGGATAAGTGATTCTGAATGTCTGTTCCTCAGAACACAAGTCCTTTGAGAGTATTTATAAGCGTTATGTGGAAAAAAAAAAAATCCCATACTTAAATAAGTTTGAGAATGGCTGAGTTATACAAAGATTGAAAGGATCTTGATTGCAAGACTTCTCAGAGTCCCTAATAGGCGATGTGCATTGTGGAATCTCCAGGCAGGGACAGAGGATGCTGCATGTCACGAACCTTTTGTCTGAATCGATTTCCTTAGATGACTCTTAAGGGCATGTTGCTTAAGTGTTAAGTTCTTAAGTGTAAGGTTAAGTGTTGCTCTGCAAACTCTTTGACCGACCGCAATCTAAGCCACAGGCAAAAGGACAAAAGGTGTTTATCTGGCTCACCGTCTACTCCCGTTCATCTTGCAGGAGCCTGGGCTATGAATAAGCCATACCTGGGGTTAGTCATGTTTCTGCAAATCAGTGATTTCACTAGATTGAGGACTAGTTCCTGAACGTTTTGTTTCATTCCCCTCTGGAGTGCTGCTAATTTGCAGGCAGGGAGATAACTCAGAAGATAGTTATCAGCCCAGAGAAGCAGGTTGAGGCAGCAACAGACAGTCCTCCACCCAGCTGATCAGACCTCCTCAAAGATCTCACATCAAGAAGCTGTTAAATCTCTCAGAAGCCGGAATCTCGCCTGTAAGCTGCTGACACACCATACAGCTGACGAGGAATAAAAAACAAGTCCAAACTGTTGCAGATTCTCTTGCAACCATAATAGGATGTTCTGCACAGTAACAGCTAACCCTTGGGGTGTTTTTTGTTTTGGAAAAAAGTGGTTTCCGTTTTTCATGACATCTTTCAGCATACGTACGTGTATTGAGCGCTTAGTCTTGGAGCTGAGGACCAGTGAGATGCGCTTTATAAGGAAGCGCTCTCAGCGCTTAGCAAAACCGACTTCACCGTCACAGTTTACAGTATCCTTTGCTTCCTCTGGGAAATGGAAAGTCATCAACTGCATGGTGAGGGTTAGGGAACTCTAGACCCATGCAGATCTTGTGGAATAGGTTTCTCTCATAAAACAAGGAATGGTTACAGTAAAAAGCAGAGAATTATTAAGAAGATACCTTCATGTTTAGCCAGAAAAAGTTGCCTGTGATAAGAATGCATGAAAATTCTAATATCTAGAAAATTAACAAAAAATTTTTTCCCCGCAATTTTTTTTTTTACCCCTTGCTCTAATTGGAGATTTTTGCAGTTCCTAATTTAAAAAATAGAAGTAGTCTATTTTTGTGGTATTGCCTAAACAGCTTTTTATAAGAATTATGTGTGAACATATTAAGTAGCACGTTCCCACTTCTTTTGGCGGCTCATACCTAAAGTGACCCAGATTTCCTCACCTCATGTTCTTTTTCTCCTGCTTCAGTTTATCATTTAGGATGCTTCATTTGCATTTGAGTCATAAAAAAGTTCAACTTAAAATGGCTTAAGCAATAAATGTTTTGATCTCATGTGACAGGAAGATTGGATTTAGGCTCAAGATTGGTTATTTCAGCTGCTCATTGATGTTTTCAAGAACCCAGATTCCTTCAGTCTTTCTGCTCTGCCATCCTCGATGCGTTAGCTTTTTTCCCCTGGTTGATTTCTTCATGTTGACAAAATGGTTGCAGCAGCTCCCAACATCCCATTTTCACAGAGCCATGTCCAAAGGCCAGAAGAGTAAACATTCCTTTCTTGCATCCTTTTTTGGTAAGTAAAGAAAATTTTCCCAAAAGCCTCCATCAGACATCCCTTATTTGTTATTGCCCAGAATTACATCACACATCTAATCCTAAATCAATTCCTGGTGAGAAAAATGAAACTACTATTCTTTTCTTAAACCAATCACATTTCACCCAAGGCTGAGCCTACCCCTCCTGAGATTCATGGATAATGAATACTTGAATAAAGTCAAGTTTTATTGAGCAAGGAACAAAGGGGCTGCAGAGTAGTCTACAATGTCACCTGCCCTATGTAGGGACACTCAAAGAAAAATGAATTCAACGTTTTTTAGCAAACTGATTTCATCTGGCCTATAAGATAACAGTGTTCTTTGAAAAGCTGCAGGTGAAAGAATGAGTTTTCCTGCTAGGAATGTTGCACTGTGTTTAGAACAAAGTCTGTGAAAGTTTGTGGGTAAAGCATGATGGGAGAGAGCCGGCCCAGTGGCACAGTGGTTAAGTGCATATGTTCCCCTTTGGTGGCCCGGGGTTCGACAGTTCAGATCCTAAGTGCGGACATGGCACTGCTTGGCAAGCCATGCTGTAGTAGGTGTCCCACATATAAAGTGGAGGAAGATGAGCACAGATGTTAGCTCAGGGCCAGTCTTCCTCAGCCAAAAAAGAGGAGGTTTGGCAGCAGATGTTAGCTCAGGGCTAATCTTCCTCAAAAAAAAAAAAAAAGAATGATGGGAGAGCTAGGAACTGCAGTTAAACCGAGAATCATGATTTCAAGGAGAATAATAAAAGAAGATGATACAACTGATGTTCAGTTGAACAATAGGGGTGGAATAAAATCGTTGCAGAAACTCCAG